CCATCCTAGCTCAGGTCTCTGATAAAGGCCTCACTTCTCAATTATAGAGAACTGAGTCAAATTGATAAAAATACAAGTCATTCCCCAGTTGATAAATGATTAAAGGATATGAACAGGCAGTTTTCAGACAAAGAACTCGAAGCTATCTATAGTCATATTGAAAAAAAAATACTCTAAATCGCTATTCATCAGAGAATGCAAATTAAAACAACTCTGAGATACCGCCTCACACCTATCAGATTGGCTAATATGACAAAAAAGGAAAATGTTAGATGTTGGAGGCATGTGGGAAAACTGGGACACTAATGCATTGTTGGTGGAGTTAGGAACTGATCCAACCATTCTGGAGAGCAATTTGGAACTATGCCCAAAGGATCATAAAACTCTGCATACCTTTTGATCCATCAATACCACTACTAGGTCTGTATCCCAAACACATCCAAAAAAAGGGAAAAAGACCTATTTGTACAAAAAAATTTTTTTTTTTAAGGCAATTGGGATTAAATGACCTGCCCAGGGGTCACACAGCTAGTAAGTGTCAAGTGTTTGGTCTGGGGCCTGATTTGAACTCAGGTCCTCCAGACTCCAAGACTGGTGCTCTATCTACTGCACCACCTAGCTGCCCCCTACAGAAATTTTTATAGCAGCTCTTTTTGTGGTGCCTAAGAATTGGAAATCCAAGGGATGCCCATCAATTAGAGAATGGCTAAACAGGCTGTGGTTTAAGATTGTAATTGAATATTATTGTGCTGTAAGATATGACAAGCTGGATGATTTCAGAAGAACCTGGAAAGTGAAGTGAACAGAACCAGGAGAATGTTGTACACAGTAATAGCAATATTGTTTGATGGAGAACTGTGAATGACTTAGCTCTTCTCAGCAATACAATGATCTAAGACAGTTCCAAAGGACTAACGATGAAGCACATATACTATCTGCCTCCAGAGAAAGAAGTGATACTGACTGAATACAGACTGAAGCATTCTATTTTTCATTGTCTTTTTTTTCTTTTAATCAAGTCTTCTTGTACAAAATGACTAATATGGAAATGTTTTACATAATTGCACATGTATAACCTATATCTGATTGCTTATGGTCTCAGGGAGGAGGGACAGGAGAGAGAGGGGGGAGAGATAGAATTTGGAACTCAGAACATTATATAAAAATGTTTTTTAAAATTTTTTTTAAAGAAATAAGTGAAGAACTTCATGCAAAAAGAAAAAAAGAAATGTTTCATTCACATTTATTCAGGAAGCATTAAGCTTGCATTTCTGAAGCTCTTTATGGCTATAAACAACAAGTATTAATTACTGCTCCTGTTTTTATGGAGAAGGAAACCAAAGCAGAGAATTTAAGTTCTGTGCACAGGATTACACTACTGATAAGCAGCAAAGCTGCAATCAGTGACAAACATGTGATTGCCCTTGTTAGGAGGAGTTGAAGCTTTGAACTAAGGTTTTTGACTCCAGGTCACAGGTATTGTCCTGCATTATACTTCCTCCCTATCTGGAAGGGAAGTATATGACCCTGGGCAAGTAACGTAACTCACTGAACCTCTCTCACCTCATCTGTTCCAATGGAAATACAACTACTTGCATTACCTCCCCACCTCCTCATCCTTTGTGATATTCATCCATGTCTTTCCTTAAAACTCCATCCATCCAGCTATTTTGAAGTTCCTAGCATAGCTCATATCTCATAGTAAAACAGTAATCAGACAGTCTTACATGTTGTCACCTCCCTCTCTTTCCATGCCCCCCTGTCTATCTTCTTTTCCGGTTAAATATGCCCTTAATTATGCCATTTACACAAATTAAAATTAGTATAGCTACCATAAAATGGATAGATTGATTTACCTTCTTCACTTGGGGAATGGAACATTCTGGGCTTGAATCAAATGCAGTCAAAATGTCAATTCTGCCTTCTGGTTCTTCTTTGTGCTACAATCGAAAATACTACAATGCAATTCAGATTTCCTTTCCCCCATAATGATGGTCATCATTAATGACGTATCTGGAAATTATGGTTTTCTCCATCACAGCACAGTGGAAACTGGACTGGTAGCAAAGAATCATTCTCCTTTTTCCTTGAGGGAAAATAACCACTTGAAATTTTTGATAAGGGTAGTAAAGAAAGATTTCCATAGCCCATTGTTGCTTGCCATCCCCTTTGTCACCTGTTGTATTCCTGCCCACCCTTGAAAATTAAGCTCAGATGCCACCTCTACTAGGAAGCCTTCCTCTGTTGATGACTGTTTCTACTTCCCCAGCTCCCCCCGCCCAGAACTTGCAACAGCACTTGACTTGGGGTGTCTCTGCTGTCCTGAGCATGGCCCACCCCACCTCATGGTTATCTCTGTCTATCCTTCTTCCAGAATGGTAATTCAGAGCACAGCAAGTGCTTAGTATTTGTAGATTGAATGGATGTAATAAAATAAATGGTAAAACTAAGATGATTTGGAAAGTTTAACATTTCAAATTGATTTGGGATTGATTTCTGAAAGTACCAAGCCAGTCCGGCTTTTTGTCATCATTATCATTGTTGGTATCCTATTCAGTCAGGATATCCTGTCCCTTGTGCAGTGGATGCTGGTCAGAGACTGTGTGAGCTATACTCTGGCCACTGGTGTGAAAGCAGCATGTTCTCATTTTCTCATGGTCCTAGGAAATGGCCTTCCAGATGTCTTTGATGTTTTTTCATTTCAAAATTCACAAAATGTTCAGATCAGGGTTAAGGCATGCTTCAAATATTTTAGTTAGAGGAAGGGAGGGAGAAAAAATAGACTACAGTCTTCTAGCCTTGCTAGCCATGTATCTCTCCTTGACACAGTCAAGAGAAATTTGGTCTAGAAGCTTATACCCCTGGAGCAGGGCTTAACCCAGAATAATTCTGATGCTTTCCATGGAATCCCTAAAATATCTGGATACCAGCAGTGGAATTGTAGGGCCTTGAGTTAGAGATTGCTTTGAGGCCTGACTTTCAGCTGCTTCCTACAGTGCCATTCCACATTTGAAAGAACTGGGGACATTTACTTATCCTGGAAAATCAGGAGTAAGTGAGGACATGAGAACTGTATCTAAAGGATCATCCCATGGAAGCAGATTTAGCCTTGTTCTTCTTTGCCCTAGAGGGTACAAGTAGAAAGATTCCAGTGACTTGTGGGGAAAATTAATTAATTAATACTTCACTCCAATCAAAGTAGAGCTGACTGCTCCAGAACATTACTGAGTTCCCCATCACTAGAAGTCCTCTTGGTGAAGCTAGATGAAAACTTGATGGGGACATGGTAGAAGGGAGAAGGTACAACATGAGCTCAATGGCCCCTGCGGTCCCGAAAAACTCTGATTCTGTGAACACATCAATTTATTACCTGCCTGCTGCATGCAGAGCACTGGGGAGATGCAAAGTTTAGATAATACCTAGACCCTGCCTTCAAAGAGTTCCAAGTCTAAGTAGAGGGATGTAACACATAGACAAATACTACATAATCAAATGAGTTAGAGAGGAGTGAACAAAGGCTTTGTGAGGGCCTCGAGTAAAAGGCCACGAGGCCTCAGCATCAGGAAAACCTGGCTTGCAGTCCCCAGCACATACTAAGTGCATGACCCTGGGAAAGTCACAGGCTTTCTGAGCCTCAGTTTCTTCTTCTCTTAAGTGGGAATAATGGTCCTTATATTCACAAAGTTTTTCATAGAAAAGCACATTATAAAACTTCAGTCACTACAAATGAATAATAATTGTCATTACTGAATATACCAGATACCATGAAGGTGAGCTTCCATTGTGAAAGTTGACAACATCAGTATCCCATGCTAGAGATATTGCTAACAGCCACAGTGGTCGTCTCTCGCCAGAGGGTGACTTCTGTCAGTATAGGCCTTGAGAGAAATTCAGCTAAAACTTCCAGAATGAGGAACAGATTCCCAGCAAGAAATATATTGGCTTTAAGAATTAAAGGGGCCAATTCTGTTGTGAATTTGGGTCTCCAATGAATCTGAGCACATGGCATTTTAATGCCGTTTGTCTTTCTAAATAGATTTACCATCTAGCTCATGTGATGACAGGACTTTGCTCATCAGCCAGAACATACATTTCAGAGCAGTTGTTACCTAAAATATTATCATAAGGCATAAGAAAACATACGATTTAAGTTGCCTCTCATGAACATAATTAAGAATTAATAAGCCGGTACCAGTGGCCAGCCCTCAGAATTTCCACTGTTTTGCCTTTTGTGACCCGTGTTATTAAAAGTCCATTATTTTTACAGACTTTATTAAATTGGATCTTATTAAAGCATTCTGTATTTGCATTTGGTCTTTCATAATTCATTATTATTATGACATTTACTTTTTACCATCAGATCTGAAAACATATCATAAGCTACCCTTTTCTCTTGAAAGAAATGCTAATTTCAAACAGTCCTCTAATGGAGGAGAGAAGCTTTATCAGTTTTTTCATTTATTCCCGATCGTGGTAAGAATACTAATGCTAGACTTCCCTATGCTAATATCTCAGAGCTTTTTTTGGTCAAAAGCTTAGAATTATTGTTTTTATCCTAGTTCTAAGTATGAAGTGAGAAGGCCACTGCTTCCAGAAAAAACACCCTTCAGACACTGAGTGCTCAAATTTGAAGAAGGAGGAGATGTTAGCATGAGATTTCTGGGCCAAAGCCTAGTGCTCAGAACAATAATAGACATTTGAAACCTTCTTTGGGTTTTTTTGCACTAATTAACAAAAAAAGAAAGAAAGAAAAGTAAAAATTCTCACTGTTCTGGGGCAAATAGAGGCCTAAGAGCTGATCAGTGTGAGATGGCCCCAGGTGATCCATCTCTCTGCCTTTTTCAGCACAGGTGGGTTTGATCTGGGCTCAGGTTTTTAGCAGTCTGTCTCTCTGTCAGATAATCAGCCTCATGCCCACATGTCTCCCACAGAATGGCAAAGATGACCTCAGTGCTGAGAAAGATCCCCGAGTCACCTTCCTGTTTCCTTTCTCCTGTTAGGTTTCTGACAATGTGCACAAGACACTTTGGCAGCGTGGTGGCTCAGACCATTCGAACTCAAAAGACAGATCAGTTTCCACTTTTCCTCATCATCATGGGAAAGCGCTCATCGAATGAAGTGTTAAATGTAATACAAGGTAAGACCTCCACACCATCCTCCAATGCAGGGCCATGTTCTCAAGGCCATAGTGCCGTTGGTGCTAGAACCTAGGCCTTTGCCTTCTCTTTGCCTCCATGCTATATGTTCTTAACATCAAGGCATTTTAACAGAAGGAGGCATCATAGGACACTGGAGAAAGTACAGGGTTTAAAATCAGAGGATCTGGGTTTAATTCTCAGCTCTGCAGCTACCTGTATGTCCCTGGACAAGTCACTGGACCTCAGTTTCCCCCTTTGTAAAGTGAGAAACTCAAGCTAGATGATCAGAAAGGTCCTTTTCGGCTCCCAGCCAGAGTTTTGTGTAAGGAGTCTTCAGAAAGGCCAGCAACAGTCCCTGATGCAAACACGGCTAATGTAGTTGTTAAATGTCAGGGGTAGGACATCTCTATTGTGACTGGTCAAGGTCCCTGAGGTCTTGCTTCAAGACTCAGCTCAAGCACCACTTTCTACCTGAAGTCTTTCTTGGTGCTCCAGGATGCCAATTCCCTTACTCCCTAAATTAACTTGTATTATTAGAGGGGAAAAAAAACCCTGTGGGGCTTAATATGCGTGATGAGCCAGCAAAAGAGACTTGAACAGAGCAGCCAGACAGGTAGGATGATGACCCAGGTGGAGCAGTGACACAGGAGCCCAGAGAGGAGAGGATGACCAACAGTGGTATCAACTACAGAGAAGCCAGAAAGGATCTCTTAGCAGGCACTAGGCTTATGCTGTGTCCTGAGCATATAAAGGTAGAAGCAGACCCAGTGCCTGCCCTCAATGAGTTGGCAATCTGGAGAAAAGTATTGGATTGAAAATCGGTTGATCTCGGTTTAACTCCTGGCTCTGCTGCTACCTGTTCTATAAGCTGAGGTGGGAAAGGGGCTTTATGTGAAAAACAAAGGAGCCTATATTTGCCCCTGGAGGAGGGCACAGTTACAGGGGGATGATACAGTAGTAGGAGAATGGCATAGTCAGATTTGTGCTTTAGAAAAATCATTTTTAATAGCTGAGCAGAGGATGAATTGAAGTGGAGAGAATTGAGGCAGGATGAATCAATCTAGTCAAGAGGTGATGGGGGTCTGAACCAGAATGGTGGCTATGTGAGGGAAGAGGAGGGGATGGAGCCAAGATAGGAAGGTGGAAATGACAAGATCTGATAGCAGATTTGATGTGTGGGATGAGTGAGAATGAGAAGTCAAGGAAGTCACCGAGATTATGGGCTTAGGTCACTAGAAGGGTGATGGCAGCCCCCACAATAAGAGAAACATTTGGAAGAGGGGAGAGGTTGGGCAGAGAGATCATGAGTTCTGTTTTGGACATGTTGAGTTGGAAAGCATTTTGCAAACCTTTTCAAAACCTAATGCAGTTTTGTAAAACTGTATTAGTTTCAGCAATTTTTATTACTGTTATTCATCAGAGGACCTGGGGCCTAATTCCAGCTCTACTAGATGTGTAGCTTTAGGCTAGTTACCAGCCTTCTATGGGTGGGCCTTGATTTCTTGGGCTAGATACTCTCACTTCTTGCAGCTCTCTGGGTTTGGGGCAGATCATTTTCTTCTCTTTTTTTTTCCTTTTTTTTTTTTTTAGGCAGTTGGGATTAAGTGACTTGCCTAGGGTCACATAGCTAGTAAGTGCGAAGTAATTAGTCTGAGACCAGATTTGAACTCAGGTCCTCCTGACCTCAGGGCTGGTACTCTATCCGCTGCGCAACCTAGCTGCCCCAATTGGGGCAGATCATTGAGGGAGCCTGAATGATCCGGTAGCTGACAAACATCAGTTTTTATCAGAAGATCTCACCACGTTTCTTAGCCATTAATGCAGCAGTGCTTCGAGACACTGAATTGTTCAAATTGTCCATAAACTGAAAGAAGTTACAAAAGTTTTTGTTCATTTTTGCCTCTTTTTTTTTTTTTAAATCATCACTTTGGGGGCTGTTGCTACTTGAGCAGCATTTGTGACATGGAACTCTCACTGGATTTGGACCCCGGTGAATCGGGCTCCACCACTGACTTTGGGAACTGACTTTCCGTCTTTGTGGCACCATTTTCTCCTCTGTAAATGAGGTGGACAGACAGGCTTGCCCAGGTCCAAGTCCAGCAAGCCTGGACTTGGAGTCAAGACAGCCTGAGTTCCGATCTCACCTTTCATGTTCCCTGTGCGAATCATTCGCCTTTGGACAACAGGGTCATAGGTCTTAGCTGGAGGCTTCTTAGAGACCATTGAGCCCAGTCCCCTCATTTTACAGAGGAGAAATTGAGGCCAAGAGAAGGGAAGTGATTCAGTGTCTGAGGCAGGCTTTGAATCTAGATCTTCCTGACTCCAAATCCAGCCTTTCATCCACTCCACCAAAAGACTGGATGTTTGTGGTAGATTGCAGTGTGCGTTGATGGACAGAGTTCTCTTACAAACAGAACTACAGATCCTTGAAGTGATCTTGTCAAATGAGGAGGTTGAATTGGCTGGTGCCTAATTAAGATCCCTTCCCCTTCTTTCAGGTTCTGACACCCCCCATCCCAATATTTTGTGGGCCCAGAATAGTTACAGAAACGAGAGTATGTCCAAAATGATGATAGTGTGTTCATTAGCTTCTTTAAATAACTAACTGCCTTGATGGCTTGGGGAAAACAAGTTTTGGTCCTTAATTCTCAAACATCTGTTATGGAATTTTAATGGACAGAATGTCTCTGACCGTCACATACAAATTCTTGAATTTCAGCTGCTGATGTTACCCATCACCACTTCCTAGTTGAACATGTCAAACTTCTCAATGAAAAGACAAATTAAAATATTTTAATGAGATATTAAGCATTCTAATCTGTAATTTTTCCCCACACTAGTTATTCCTTCCTGATTAATTCAAGAATTGCTTTCCATTTTTTAATAACTTTAATAATGTGAAGTTCGGCAATCTTCTTGTGTTGCTAGGTAACACAACAGTGGACGAGCTCATGATGAGGCTGATGGCGGCAGTGGAGATCTTCATGGCCCAACAACAGGAGGACATAAAGGATGAGGTATGGTCAAGGTCACGGTTGGACCTCGGTGTGGTAGACAGATAGTGATGGTGGGTGCCCAGATCAGCCAGGCTCCCCTGTGTCAATACTGGCAGAGAGTGGGATTCTTAATGGAGTTCTCTGTTTAGCTGGTTGTAGAGTGACCCTGAGAGCTTGCTCAAAGAGACTACTCCAAACAGCTACATACTTTTCAGCACACTGCTGATTTTCATCCAGGCCTTCCTAGGCCTTCCTTTCCCTTTGCAGATATTGTGATGAGCATGTTTTAGATGTGAAGTCATTTTTGAAACCCTCTAACGTGACTAGATATAGGCACTTGATAAGTGTTTGTTGAATGAATCGGCAGATCTCCTGAATTCTAATGCCAGGAATGTTCAAATGTTCTTAATAATGTATAGCTCCCTGGAGGAACAGGATTGCAAAATTACTCTAGTTATAGCATTTTTGTTATCAGGGTTACTATTTACAATATTAATAACAGCTCACATTAGTGACTTACAGAAAGGACATTCACATCCAAGATCTCATTTTATCATCACGACACCGAAAAGCACCAAGAATTTAGCACTCTTTAGAATTTCCAGTTTACACATCAAGAAACTCAGGCTTATAAAGGTTTACTTAATCATAGTCACACAGTAAGAGAATAATGGAGGTAGGCCTGGACCCCCAGCCCAGTGATCTCCCCACCTCACAGTGCTGCCTCATTAGAGTTCATGACTGGGTATATTGCTAACATTTTATAGAGAGTCATAAGAAATTGCAACATAACCTTTAAAATTGCCATGGAAATAGGAAGGTCAAATATTTAGTCTAGAGAAGAAAAGACAGAGGGGGCATGATTCCTGCCTTCAGATCCCTCCAGGCCTATTGTGGGGAAGGGAAGAGGAATTTGCCTCGTGCTTCTTGGCCGCAGGGGTAGAACCAGAAAGTCACGAGGAGGCAGACTCCTGTTCATCCCACAGTAGAATGAATTACCGAGGAAGGAGGAGACTTCTCACTGTTGGGAATCTGCAAGATACATTATTCCCAACATGGAGGGATTCCTGCTCCAGGGAAGTGATCCATTGAGGTTTGATGACTTTCCAATGGATGCATCTGGATATAGTGACCTCTGAGGTCCTTTTCCACCTCTGAGGTTCTACCAGTCTAACACTAGAGAGCCCTTCAAAAATGCCCAGTGGGTAACAGGGCCCCACACAGGAAAGGGGCAAGGAGGGGACTCTCAGGAGAGGAAACTCCTCTGCCAATACAGGTCTTCACCTACTCAGCAATTTCCAGTCTTGATTACCTACACTCCAGAAAAGTTCAGTGACTTGAGCAGAGTCACACAGCCAAGATATGGTGGTGGTCTTCCTGGCTTTGAGGCCAGCTCTATATTTCCTACACTGCATGGCCTCTCAGGATATGGGAAGTGTTCAATAAGTGATTTTGTGATTCTTGATGAATCCAGTTGAATGTGGATTATGGCAGTTTATGGAAAGAGGGAAGAGAGGGGAGGGAGGGAGAAAGGAAGGAAATAAGAATTTATTAAGCATCTACTATGTACCAGGCACTGTACTAAGTGCTTTATAAATATGATCTCATTTGAACTTCCCAGCAGGTGGGGAGGGTAGGTGGTGCTGTTATGGTCTTCACTTAACACATGAGGAAACTGAGGCTGGTTTGCCCAGGGTCACAGCTAAGAGAGTGTCTGAAGCCAAATTTGAACCCAGATCTTCCTAACCCCAAACACAGTATTTGATCTACTGTGCCACCAGCTGCCTAAGAACATTAAATGGAAAAATAATAACATTACCACACTTGTGTGGCACTTGTAGCCCCGCTGTGCAAAGCACTTCCCTGCTGGCACCACTGTGAGGTTGGGAGCACCAGCGTTAGGACCTTCCTTTGGCTGTGGAGGAACCTTCCTTCGGCTGAGACCGACAGGATCGTTGGTGCCTTCTGGCCAGAAGTCCAAGGGAAGGAGTACTAGATGGATAGTGCCAAGAGCTGAGGAGAGCTCTGTAGACAGCGTGGGCTTCCTCTCCATAAAGTTACTTAAGTTCATAATAAACAAGTCAGTATTTCAATCATGCAGTGGTGGAGGCAGTCAGGCACATAGTAGAAAGATGTTTATCTGTTACTCTGTCAACTGACAGTGACATTTTAAAGTAATGAAGCACTGTTCTTAGTTAGGAATTTGTAATAATAGGTGTGTTGCCTTCCCAGATTACCTTTATCCTGGTCTAGAGACATTGATTGACAGTAATGCACAAAGCTCGCTCCTCAGCCACCTCGATTGGGTGTCTCGTTAGTGCCAGATTTACTGATTATGTTGTATGAGAATATGAATGCACATTATTTGCATGGGGATTTCCCAGTTCACTCTTTCTTCGTAATTTGTGTTCCCCAGAACTCATCGGTAAAGAAATTGACTCTAATTCCTTTAATGCTGAGCACAAATTTTAATATGAGGGTTATGGGAAAAATCCAAGGCCCAATATAATTGAATTTTTGATTGCGTTTTGGCTTCAAGATGTTAGGATTTCTGTTTGCTTTGAAAGTGTCTTTTGGAAAGTTATCACACAGGTCACAAGTGAAAGACCTAAAAGAAGCTCTTAAGTTTGGAGAACTGTTTTGTATATTAGTCAATCAGTAAATGTTTATTAAGTACCTACTATGTGCCAGACACTGTGCTAAGCAAGAATACTCTCTAGATCTTAAAGCTCAAGTATCAACTAAAAATAAGACAAGAAAGAAAGACTTCCATCGTCAATTGTGAATTTCACTAGATCATTTTTTGAAAGGAAATCCTAATAAGCTAGTGATTCAGTTATGATCAGGGAAGGAGTGTGAGAGGAAGACTGCTTGGGGCGCAGTTTCTTTAAAATTAGCCTTAATCCAGAGTATCACGTTCAGACCAGTGCCTCCATGCACTCTGCAGTGCAGCTTCCACTGTGTGAGAAAGCCCCACGTAAGAGTCAGATTCCTGGGGCTCTGCCCAAAGGCTTCTTCAGGGTGCTTGGTAAGAGAGTGTTGGGACTGAGGAGAAAGATTCCTGACTAGGGTCAAAAGTTACTTTCTGGGGCCACCTTGGAGTCTAATGTGGAATAAATGATTTCCCTACTCTGAACCTCCATCTCCCCCTCTGGGAAGTGAGAGTGCTGCACTGGAGAACTTCAGGAATTCCCCCCAGCTCCTGAAGGCTATCTTCTTCCACTGTTATCTCGTCCTTTCTTCCATTTCAGTGAGCTCAGGTTTTGGGTTTTTTTTTTTTTTTGAATATTCTATGGACTTCAAGTGTCTCCTAACTACAATAGTCTATCTTTTCAATACAGATGCCTTGCTAATGTAACAATAGGGCAGCAAGACCTACAACATCACTGATTCCCTAAAAATAAACTTCACACAGAGGGCAGTGGAAAGGTGATGTGAGCAAAGTGCACATCATCCGTGAGGTACGCTGAAGGACAGAAGTCATGGATGTTATTGGGAAATTGTAGGACAAAGAAGATGGTGTGGTCATGTGGCAAAAGCAAGGGATGACTGGGACCCTCATGATGTTGGAAACAAGCGAGGAAGTCCTTCAGCATGTTGGTCTAACCCGGGAGGAAGTTTTTGGGGGAAGACACGGAGGAGAGTCACAGGGCGGATCAGCACTCGCAGACTGTGAGCAGCATTGTCAGAAGGAGCTCCCCATCTCTGGTGTCATAAACCTCTCTGAACATTTGATTCTTACATCATACAAAACATTTTCTCTCTAACAGCTTTATAAGGTAAATAGAACAAGTATTATCATCTCTGTTTTACCAACAGGGCAACTGGGGCTGAGAAGTTAAGTAACTTATCCATGGCCAAACAGCTATGTCTCTGACAGAGACAATATTCAAACCCAAGTCCCCTGACTTCAAGCCACTACAGTGTATTACCATTCATTCATCCAGCAGATGTCTGCAGTGTTTGCCATATGGGAGGACCATGTGCTTAGCACTATGGAAGATACCAATGTGAAGAAGATATGGCGCCTGCCCTCACAGAATTTATGATGCAGGAGGGGAGTTAAGAACTGTGCACAAATAACTATTGTTCAAGGCAGGAGCAGTGCAGACAAAATTATTCAACCTAGCTGCTCCTGATGAATCCAAGTCCTTTGGTCCAGATGAACTAGATCCTCTGGTCTTGAAAGAACTGGCCGATGTGTTTGCTGAGCCACCATAAGCAATATTTGAAATGTCATCAGAAACAGGAAAGTGTACCACAGCATTGGAAAAGGACATGTACCTAGTTTTCACAAAAGAGAAGAGAACAGAGTCTACAGTCTGTAGACCGGTGATGTTGACTTCAATTTCAAGTAACATTCTAGAAGCATGACTTCCTCAAGAACTGTCATACCAAACTTGCCTCATTTCCTTCAATAATAAGACTGTAGAGAAGAGGAATCTGGAAGAGGTAGTCTGCTAGATGAAAATATCTCATGCTGTTCTTGTGGAGAGGAATGGTTAAATAATAAGACAGTCATAGGAACCCAGAACATATTGGATTCCCAGACTCTTCACCAGAATGTTTGCTAAAGGTTCAGTATCTCCATGGCAGGAGAGTGGTTCACTCGGGGCCTCTGCTGGACCCTGGGTTGTTTAACACTTCTTGTCGATGGCTTGGATAGAGGCCTAGGTGGTATGCTCATCCCATTTACCAAGGATTCCTCTCCTCCTGTTTTGTCTGTTACTAGAAAGTAGAACTAAGAGCAAAGGGTGGGAGTTGTAGAGAGGCAGATTTAGGCTTTATGTGGGGAAACTTTCCAGCTGGGCTTGGCCAAAGTTGAATGAACTGACTCCAGTGGAAATCATCCTCATCACCATCAGCATCACCATCACCACAGCTCACATTGATGTGGTTCTTTCAGGCTTATGCATCTCAGAGCTTGCCGTAGTACTTGGCACATAATAGGAACTTAATAAAGGTGGCTGGCTGACTCTTTTCTCGGTCACATCCCTGGGAGATGTAGAAGAAGGTATTAT